GGGGGGGGGAAGAAAAAAAAAAAAGGCAGCTTAAAGTGGAAGGTACCACTATAACATTTCAGTGCATCCATTAATGAGCTGCTTTCACTATCATCTTGTTTTGTGCAGAAGAGGTAGAGAAACACTTGAGATAATGCTCATTGTTCTCCATGAATTACCATGGCTGCCATAACCAAATTTACACCATGCATTTTTAAGCAGCAACCTGGCTTGCTACAGACCTAAGCAATCACAAGGGTGATGGCAAAGCAAGCGTAAACAGAAGGGACACATTTCTATCAGACAAACAAACAAAAGACGTGTTCATGCACATGTTGAAAGTTCATAAAAAATCAGCTATTTAGGAGATCTAAGAAACCTACTTTGACAACCGAAAGCACACTGAAGATGATCTTCTAAACCTGTCTTTTCTCTTTGCCCACTAATCCTTTAAGAACTCACCATTTTCACTTCTTTCTTCCTCCTCCTCTGAAGAATTCAGGGTCTGCTTGTTAGGTGGAACAGAGTTTGTGCCTCTCCTTGCTACCCAAAATCCTGCTGGACCATGGACAATGGGAGCAGTGCTACCCTGGCTCTAAAAGGCAAAGTCAGAAGTGTGCATTTAGAAATAGTTTAAAGTCTTTCCATGCGCTACACACACGAGTAGAAACAGGCAGGCAGATCAAGCTAATTGCAATCAAAACTTACTAGAATTACCATTTGTGCAACAATTCCTACTCACCTTGATTGCAACAAAACAGCTGTGGACACATTTAGTTCCTTTGCCTTTTGTTCTGCCTAGCATGATTAAGGTAACATTTCTGAAGACCCACCACTGACCTACACAATACAGTCAAGTCGCTCCCTCCCAGAACTTAGCCAGATTTAGTTTAAGCTCAAAGCTCAAAAGGAGAGAGCAGACCCCAGACAACAGCCAAGACTGCCACTGCTGGCATCTACTCCTGCATTCCTCATCCTGGAGCATTCCCACCACACCACCAGCAGATCAGTTCATCCAAACACTCTAGTTATCATGGAAAAAGGTTATCTTCAGTCACAGCTAGAGAAACCCACAGGCGGCTGCTGGCATAGACACCACTGTCGGCACTAACTCCACCCACACGTGCAAGCCTGACTCTTTCAGGGAGCAGCGCCCATCAAGGTTGCCCACAGGACACCTTGAACACTTCACACACCCTTTGTCTTTGCAGTGAAGTCAGTCCTTAGCTGCACCACAATTTAAAATAGAGAGTTCTCTGAAGCAGGAATATAGGATTGACATGCTCGTCCCTCTTTTGTGATGGCTAAGGTGACATTCAAAATTCTCCTCAGAAGACATGGTGACTATGAGATCGATAAAGTGCTCAGAGAGGCTTGTAAGATTTCCAAGGTTGAAGCAGAGATGCTAAGTCAGAAGATTCTCCCACCAGGCCTCTAGTAGGATGGCAGAGTTTTCTGCGAGATGCATCTTTCCCCAGGAAATGTTATATTCCTTTACTAAACAAGACAAGGAAGAGACAGAGAAAAGGCTTTGGCATTGACAATAACAAAGTCACCGAATGAACATGAAAACTATTCATTAGGAGCTGCAGGTATAGAATCTAGCAATGGGGAGGAAAAGCTAGTGAGCTATATTGATTAAATGTCAGGAGAAAAAAAAAAAAAGAAAAAAAAAAAAGAGGCTGGCTAATCTGTCCTTATTCTCTGACACTCTCGCAGGAAATTCAGAGCAAAGATTACATGAGGACAATTTTAAAAACAGCTGCTGCTGAAAACAGTCCTGAGCAGATTCCTCCCTCTCATTTAATGATGAGCCCAACATTTGTAAGGTTCACTGCTTCACCACAGTGTAGAGAAATCCAAATCTACCAGGGTTTTTTTAAAAAGCATCTGCTTCCCTATTTAGATACCTAAATATCAATTGAGTTTGTGGCATATCCAGCTTTGTACTAGGCTTGGACTACCAAAAAAAAAGTTTATTTTCAAGTTTAAGAATAGACTGTGCATGTTATCTACAACCCAACAGAAAGACTATTTAAGAGAAGTCTAGACTTGGAATTTTCTCCTGTTTCCCTAGTAGAAGAAACTGTTTCAGGAACAACATGCTAGCCCAAAACATTCCAACTATAAATTCATAGGAACAATCCAGGCTATCACCATCCAGTTTCTGAATCTGGTTACACAAATGATAAACTGCAGTGGGGCAAACAAGGGAAAAGCTTTCTACCACAGTATTTAGAGCTAGACAGACATCCACAGTAGGAAGGGATCTTTGGCGGTTGTTTAGTTTTCAAACTGCAATGGAAAGGAGAAACGTGACCCTACTTTTATGAAAATATACTAAAGAGAAAACAAGTGCTGCTGGTGAGGGAAAAAAATTGAGGTTTTAAGCAGGCTTTACAGGATCTAGACTCACTTCAGCCTTCCCTTCTCAAAAACATATTCACTGTTCAAGCTTACTCCAAGGAAAAAACAAAAAAAGATGCTGTATATTGAGGTTAAGTGCTGCGTGTTTGTACAGGTTCCCCCCACACCTCCCTCTCTGAGAACTTTTAACATACCCCTTCTTCCTAACTTACTGGCAAAGTAGGAAAAGCAGTGTCATTCTCCCCTTCAATCTCATAGAAAGTTATGCCGCCTTCTGGTCCTTGGGGCTCCTCTCCATTCCCCGGTACAAACCCATACTGACATTCCTTATTCACACCCTGCATCTGACGGCGGCTACGGCTGTAGGAGCTTTGAAAATGAGAAAGCAGATTAGCAATCACCACTGTCTGGGTTTCACCTCCATTTCGGTGCTCCATTTTAACTTTGTTCTCTTTGGAGGGGCACAATAAACCCATGGTTTCCTACTGTGCCAGGAAGAGCCAGCTCAGCTCTCCACATACCTCTCCCACCATCCTCCCCAATACCTTAGAGCAACCGTTTGTGATATTCACTTACCAGGACCTGCAGGAGAAAGTGTCATAGCTCTGATAGCATCGCTTTCCTGGACTGGGGTAGAATGCTATTTGAGGGCCAACCATGTTGTGCCTGTTTATAAATCGGGCAGATCCCCTAAGTTTAAAGGGTAAAAGGTGCAATTACCAGGAAGTGCCTCTCAGGTGGAACTCATTTGTAGTTTTACCTACTAATTAGCACAAACTCTCTCCTAACTGCTCTGCAGCAAGAACAAACAGAAAACAAGTGGCAAAATCAGGGTTTCAAGGCTTCATACCTTGGCATTCCAAATCCACGGTTATGTCTCTGAGGAGGATTCTGAGGATGGTAGGGTTCGTACGGTGCCATGTTTCCATCACCCTGCGAACAGTGAACTGAAGAGCGCCCCGAAGGAACACTGTGCTGTAACCGGGGTGGAAGAACTGGCTGACCCCTGCTATAGGCCACAGTCATAAAGACTTCCTTTCCACGAACTTTCTTAAGCATTCTCTTCCTTGTTTTCATATCCATTTCTGCAGTTTCAGTTGAAGATAGAAAAGATATATTTACATCTTAAACAGCTGACTCCAGAGGTATGTTTTCTTTGTCATTTTAGAAGTGTCAGTATTTGGACACACAGAAAGGAAGATGCAATGACCTATTCCACAATAAGTGCATTTTACCTACGCAAACTTCACATACTTTGAAAACTCAAGCAGGCCTTCTAAATTAGGAACAGAACACAAACACATGTAAATACTTTCCAAACTTCAGCTGATCAAACCAGTGTTCTCAGTGTTAAAGTATTTTTACGAAAGCTGCATTTATTTATTAAAATAATTTCTCCAAATTAAACAAATACAATCCATATGCAATTGTCTGAGGAAGCCCTAGTCCTTCCATGCATCTCTGCTAAGGCCAAATCAGACAAGCTTTTTGGTTCACAGTCCCAGTCTTCATGCATAGATCTCAAGTGCCAAATTTCTTCTTGGTCATTTTGAGCAATACCAGCTTTGCTACAAATTTTGGATTTGCACTCTTCCAAAGACAAATTTATCCCTCTGTCTGAAGGATCACTTTACATCAAACCCCTACAGTGACCAAGTTTTATATCACAGGCTGAATTAAGTCACTTCCAATATCCAAAGACAGCTACTGTTCAAACTGAGTGCCTCCTCCATTCTCCTCTAGCCCCAAAGGAAGGAATGCTTGTGGAAACCTTGCACAAACCTATTCCCGAGAAGTATCCACTTGTTATTTTCTGATAGGCTCCTCCTTTTCGGCTGGGAACCATATTCCAAGCAAGGACAGGTGCCACTTGTGTCACTGGTTTTAGGTTTGTTAAAGGAACTGAATGCCTACACAAAGAACACTGATGTTAGTTAGCAGGGCCACAAGGATGCTGTACATAACTGCACAACAACATAAGCGAAGCAACGTTAAGAAGAAAGTAGAAAAGCCCACAAACTTAAGAGTGTAGAGTATTTGTGGAAATAAAAAAAAAAAACCAAACCCACAACACAACAAACAACTTCCTCTGACATCAAGCACACATTACTTGTTTACTAGAAAAGGCAAGCTAGGATTTTATCTCAACACTTGGACTTCTGGGTCAAGCCTTCCTTCCCTGCATTTATACGCATTCAGAGGTACACCTGAAAGCATCTGACAACATAGAATTTTTGCAATACGTCATCAAGCTGAATTCTAGGTGTGGAGAAGGCTGAATGCTTCGAACGGCAAGGCGGAGAAAGTGATCAGACTCATCAGAAGTGCCACTTATCTACTTGTTTGAGTACAACATAAAAACCCTAGAGAAACCAACACCAGAGGATAATTTGCTATTTATGAATTAAACCCAAACTGCAAAGATAGTTTTCACATTCCAGAGAAGAAAGAGGAGCAAGAATCCACAAAAAGCATTATAATAATGATCATGGTCATTAGAAATCCAAGAGAAAATATTTTCTGCAACATTCTATTTGAACAGTGATAGCCAACAAGGAGACAAAGCCTCACTTTATATTTAAAAGCCTAGGTTCTCTTTTTTTCCCCCCCCCAAAGTATCTTAACCATTCTACTTTAAGCATCTGTTGAATATACAGACACAGCCAGAAAGAGTTCAAACATGAAATAGTCACCAGACTGCTTACTTTTCTGCCAGCTCCTCAACGAATACAGTCAACGTGTTGCCATCCTGTCTGACTTCCTGTATATGAGCATTGTAATACTTACCTCCAGGCTCCAGACGTACCTGGAGAGAGAACAAGGGAAGCTCTAAAAAAAAAAAAGCCAAATCTATCAGGGGATTCAAAATACTGTCTGCAAACCAGTAGTAGCAAAGGCTGCTCCTAGCTGATCCTATGTAACTGAGTTGGCCCAGGAGCCTCAAATACTTCCTCAATAGAGCAGACAAAATAAGGAGCACTGTACTATCTTCAGGGAGGAAGGCAGGGGGGGGAAGAGTAGCAAAGGTAAGACAGACACCTGCTTTCTGATTTGTTTTTATACACTGTGCCAAGCAGATAAGTACCAAGGAAGACTGCTATTTAAGAACTTGAGGAGAGCAGAAGATAAAACAGGAAATTGGAAAGGAAAGCTCAGCTCAGCTAGAAACAAGTCACTGTGTGAATCATCAGCACTACCTCAAACAGTGATAAAAATAAGCCCTTGCTACACACAACATTGGAATACAAAGAAAGCTGACCTTCCTTTCAGCATCTCCTGGTCAGACCATGCTACTTCTCCCTTTTTAGCTCTTCCCTTTCTATTTTATAAAAATATTTGCTGTTGAGAAGCAGAAGACTGTCCAGACTTGTTGCTAACCTCCAGTGAAAATCCAAGAGACAGCTACCCCAAATGCACACCCTGGGCATTTTGGGTGCTCAGTCCGGGATTTCCACACTCACAGAAATGTACATCACTGGTTCGCAATGAATTTCCAAGCAGCTTTTCCTTCACACTACCCAATAATTAAAGGTAGATTTTAGAAAGAAAGGTCAGATTAGTAGCTACAAGGGAGAGAATGAGAAAAGCCTTGGAAAATTCTATTAAGTCAAATGATTTTATGGCTTACCATACTCCGTTTAAAGCAGTTTTAATAGTTTGTCATTACTGAGTCTCCTGTGAGTACTAACCTGACACTTGTCTCCTAAATAGTACTGTCTCCCAGCAAACACCATGTAGTCAGTTTTTTGAAGTCTTAAAAATAAATGAATAAATAAATAAAAAGGAAAAAGCCTTTAAACTACTGTTCTTTCTTCATCTATCCTACAAATACTTCATGACAGCATCCAACTACAAATTATAGGCTGAGTTAGATATTTCCTATGCATATCTGAACATTCCCCATCATAAAGGTGAAGTAACTGTAGATGTTCTTATAACAGACCATAACCAGGCTAAGTTACAGGAGATCAAGAATATCCAGATAACGCAGTAAGTAGCACTACTACTTCCATACTACAGGGTCTTTTGTGATGGTACTAAGTTAATCCTACATTTAATAGCAATCCTGGTACTAAGAGTGTTGGACATGTCATGTACCATGTACTGGTAGCACTTGCAAAAATAAGATGTTATCCAGGAAAAACTAACATTCCCTAAAGTCTCCTTGCTGCTAGATTTCAGTAGTTTTTTCTCCATTCCTTGCCTGGATTCTCTGCATGTCAGTACTCTGTCTAGATAATTAGTTACTATACTCTGTTCCAAGAATTTTAATGACCCTCATTATTGCTTATGCAGTTGTAAAATGCTGGAGTTCTTCAATATGCAAAGCAATTTGGGTCAGACATAAAACATCACTTCAAAACTTATCTTTCTTGGTAACTTCTTGCTTTACAGATCAGCAATAGTGTATGCCAAAAAGCAGCAACCTATCCCAAGCCATGGAGACCATGAAATCTCTCCAGAATGTTCAAGCCTAGGAGAGCTGGGAAGCAAGAGAAAACTCATCTCATTTGACAGATCTCAATGCTAAATTTGAGATCTTCATTATTATACAACTCTGAAGCCAAAATTGTGCTTTATACAGCAGAAGTCCTTGCACACATGCTGCAACAAAAAAACGCTCAGATCTGAATGAATACCAATACAACGGAACATCAACACAGAGTTCTGTACTCTGCTTTGAGTCCTCACCTTTTCTATACTGTAATCAGTAAGTAGCAGGTCAGATTTTTTACAACCTTATCATGGTTATACAGTGTCAGAAGCAGTGTATTTCATACCTTGAAATGAAGCCAAGAAACCAGCTACTAGCAAGAAGATGTACTACCTACAACTATCTGCTGGGTTAACCAGAATCTTTCACATTTCAGCTGTGACATAGGCCTTGGATTCATAAATTTAACAGTGAGCCGAGTAGAGAAAGAGTTGTTTTTCTCTTTTTAAAGATACCTTTTCTGCTGTCCAGCCAAACATCAAACTCCACATTCCGATAGATCTCTGGGTCCAGTGCCTTTAGCACTTTATAAGGAACAGGCATCTTGGATGGATTTTCTGGAGGCTAAACACAGAGTTGAAACAGAGCATTAACAAGTGCATTTAAGGTGTTCAGCATAGCTTGTATCCCACCAGCATCTGTGGACCATTTTAAGAAGTACACACACTATTTTCCAAAATTTTCACTTGCATGATATTTGCCTAAAAACTAAAGCTCAGGAACATGAAAACAAATTTATGCATTCAGAAGCTCAGCAGACAGACTTTGGAAAGGTTAGAATCAGGCTCAAGAGTAACATTTGGCATATTCTTTACTCTAAAAGGAAAAAGGCTTATCCAATTTAACAGAAATTCAAGGGCAAAACCAAATGACAAGCAGATGGAAGAAATAAGCCACCCACTTTCAAAAAAAAGTAATTTTTAAAAAGCGGAAAAGAGGGTTTTAGCCTTAACAGGGGTAACATCATACAACAACAACATAAACCACTATAAGGAATTCTTCCCTAGACAAACCTTTTCTTCTTCAATGCCTTGTTTGAACTTATCTTCCTGTGGATTGTCAGTATCATTTCCATCCCAGTCGTCCACTCTAAGCAATTGAAAATAAGATTACAAAAGATACAGTGCATAATTTCTAGCCAGGATTAACATCAACCGTTTATTGAATCCAAAAAGCACCATGGTGCCATCAAGTGGCAGATTTTGCCTTAAACACGAGCCATGGCTGCAACACAGTACAGGACAAGACTTCTCCTAGTTTCAGGAACATGACCTCTACTTGTTCCAGGGCCCACCGGTAATGAAGGCTACTTCTTGCATTAGGAAGGAGGAAGGTGATCCCACTGATTGATTAAACTCTTGTACTTGAAAGTGCAAGACACCCTGTTCTAAGTCCAACCAAGCCAATGTCACCTGCAAGCATTCAGTAATGGTCAGAGACATGCCTCAAGCCTTTCTCATGACCTGAACAACATGGAACATGAGGGTTTCTATAGGTATATTCTGTCTGTTTGCCTCATCCCCAGTGATCCAACAGACTTGAATAATGCCACCATTTAATTGTCTATCTGGGGTATGATTCCATTAAAAAAGGACAAACAAGAAAATAAAGCAGATCTTGTTTCCTCAATAAGCTCACTATTGCGCCTGCAGAGGTGGAGGCTTAGAGGAGTAGTAACAGTTTCTAAAAAAAAAAAATACTCTGATCACATAAAGAACAGTTTTATTTACAAATAAGCTGTCATTTTAGAGAGTAACACACAACTATGAGGTAGTCAGCAACAGAGGATGTTCAATTATGTGACACTTCCCAGCTTCAAGGAAAGCACACCCTCTTCCACAATCTACTTCAGCTTTGTGTTTGTGTCATGAGATAGGGAAAGTTTTTTTTTAGAGTAAATACCCCATGAACAAAGAAATTTTGCAAGGTTTTTGGGCTTTTGTTTGTTTCCTTTTTACCACATCCCCTTCCCAAAATACCTCTTTTCTGATGGATTTCTGGACACTTTTTCATGAAGACAATCAAAGTTTGCATCCTCACTTCCTACAGAGCCAGTGCTTCTGTTCTTCTTGGATCCACTTCGAAACACCTCAACTGCAGACCTCAGTTCTTCCTCATCCATGCCAAACACATCTTTGTACAGGATCTCATATAATACAGCTGAACAAATCAACACAAAGCTCAAAGCAAATTAAGATACTACCAGATCCGTAAGAATTGCTGCAGTTTTCAAGGTAAGCATATGTTTACATAATATCTACTGTTACAAGGCCCTAGTTATCTAGGATTCAATCAATGAGAGGATCATAAAATAATACATCTGGGAAGAAGAAACCTCTGGAAGCCATTTGGTCCAATACCCCACTTAACAGATAATGAGTGTATGAATATATTAATAGGCAATAAGTGAACTTCCATCTCTCTCCTCCCCACCAAACCAAACACTGCCCATAAACATATGAAAACAAATAGTTCTCTTGCATAGAAAAACAATTTTAAGTTTACCCTGGCAAATAGCAGCATTTTCCTGGAATTGTTTTGTATACACAGAGTCATAATGGCCATTGCCGGAACAACACAGTAAAATCTGGGAAAATAAAAAAAAAAAATGTCTTTAAGGCTGGAATGATGTAAAAATCTAACTCTTTCTATTTGATACCCTATCTCAAGACGACATTATTCTTCCATTCTACAGTCAACACCAACACATCAACAAAACAATAAATGTTCTCAATATAAATGAAAAAGCTGTAAAATCAGCTTAAAACTGAATCCTAAACTGTTTAAGTCAGTTGGTCTATTATACAAAGAAAAACTATCATTTTCTACATCATACTGTATTACACATGAAATTTATTTACGGTTTCTTCCCAGCTTACCTCCAAAGCCACCAACTGCTCAAGAGGTGTAATAGTACAAGCCATTAAATGCACTACCCTGAGACACAGTGTGCAAGTATCAAAGATGTATTTCACCCTTCCCTACCTGAGGGACTAGAAGAGCATCTACTTCTCTAACCCTCTAAAAAGCCTTGCTCTCAGTAAGCAGTATTATGCTGCCTTTTCAGAAGAAGCATGCTTTCTGCAACGTATCCATCGATACACCAAGTAAATGCATACCATCAAACCATCCTGGCATGTGACCACAGCCAACTGCAACTGGCAGAAGCCCTTAGGCAGCTGCCTGCACATTGCCAACAAGGATGCTTCCCAGGGAACCAGCAGGAACTAGGATGCCAGGGCTCTTAATTCAGTGTGCACTGCATCTTCTGCCAACACAAGCTCTCATCTCATGGTGAGAATGAGCAACACCAGAAAGAGCTGCTGCCTGTACACACAGCCTAATGACAGACAGCTGCCAACACTTAATGAGAGCTCTGGTGGTAAAGCCTTCAAGGACAAACACACATTTAGTCCATACTGCTTGATTTTTGAAGTTAACTCATTTTGAAATTAGATTAAGCTACACAGGAAACTACGGAGAAAGAAGCACATGTAAAGAAAAACAGCAATACTAACCAACAGAGATCAGCTGCAGCAGCACAGATTTCAGCGCAGACTAGCCACTTTGGCAAACAGAATAGCCCATACTGAAATCCATACCACAGCAACTTCTCTGGCATCGTGCCTTAGCTACTGGCCACGTTAATTGTGCAGGCACACCTACATGACTGCAGAAAAAACAA